TCTTCTCTTAACCATTTTTCCAAAATATCAGGCAACCGAAATTAAAAAAATTCGACAACCTCAAATGTCCAAATATTATCCGTCACAGACTAGCCTACCTAATCGGCTTAGTCTTATTAGTCCCTGTGTCAAATATTATATCATGGCGTGTGCTCGCCAAAAATTCGTATATGTGGCGTACCGGAATTGGTATCACCACTCAGTTTCTTTCTGCCAGCTTCTTGGACACTGAAGTTGCAATAGATGTCAATCACAAAATAATCTTCTTACGGTTCCAAATACAGCAGAGTAACTAAGTTAACTAACTAGATTACTTATACACCTGTAAGAACTTAATACAACCAAATATTCCAATAGGAAATACAATAAACAAATAAAAATACAGTACAAAATACCATACAGATACATACGGAACAGAAAATAGGAATTGGTCTATGACGTCACAGTCGTGAACTATTGACATGTAATGGAATATACAAAAAACCAGGCAAAACATACCTAGAAATACATAAGAATAACTAGTATGACACTAAAGATACAACACCAATCCTATCTTACCGACAAACACTAGTATACATTGCAATACACATAGAAATACGGATATCACACAGGAAAGTAACTACGAAAATACACTAGTTACGGAAACGTTAAATACAAGATAACTAGTGAGCAGAGCTATGCCGAACTGGGGAAACACTAAACCTGTACTACTTATATCATTTTACAACAAGAATTATACAGATTAACAGCACTAAAACATTATAATGATAACCTAAAACACAGAGGAAATTCCACACTGCCGGCACTCTGACAAACCAGCTAAAAAGGATACTCAGCTGCTCACTAATGACTCAATTGGTAAGAATAAATATGGGCATACAGAATAAAACAGAGTTATAGACGTGGTCGTCTCATAGGCAAAATTACGAACGGGCAAATGTCATGCCTCATCTTCTGAAATATTAATAGTTAGTCAATTATCTGCCCCGCTATTTGCTACAGAGAACTCTGTGTTTGGAATTCTTTCCTAGTTTCTATATTAGGAATTGACAAATGTGTTCACTAATGTTCTGGCAGGCTCTTCTGCCGTTGAAGAGGAAGAGAAAGATGATGTAAGCCATAGCAAGATCAAAGATGCCGATTCAGGTAATCAACACAGGTAAAAACAGAAGATCTATGATCAAATAAACACTAAGGTTGAGCATTGGTGCTGGAGATGTCCTAGCTGAGCACCGAGTTACATGAAAATATAAGTTTTTCTTAATCAAAACATGGGAACGATACTCAAATATATGTACGCGAATACCAAAGCAAAACAGTAGTCTACATTACCAGTTACAGTACTGGTATCGTTAAAAAAATTCCGACTTTCGCTTAGCAAGAGAGTAACACGAGAGAGGTCGAACCGCTACAAATAATTAGTATTAGATTTCAAGGGGACATTATCTCTAAATTTCTAATTGGAAAACGAATCCCATAGAATTCACTGGAAGTTTCAAAATAATAAAAGCTTTATAGCGAAAAAAACAGTCTTTAATTACTGGAAATTGCAAAACAATTGATGTAAGATTAAGATAACAGCGAAACGATCCATAAGTCCATTTCGGGCCCAATAAAACAGCGAGAGTTTGAGTGGAATATCGTACACTGTACTAGTAAAATATGAGCTATGATCAAATAAACACTAAAGTTGCGCATTGGTGCTGGAGATGTCTCAGCTCAGCTCCGAGTTTCCTGAAATTTTAGATTTTCACTTCAAATAAAACAAGAGACCGATATGGACGCGAAGACTAAATCGAAGCAGTAGTCTACCTTACTTTTATAGTACTGGTACCGTCAAAAAAATCCCGACTTTTTCGTAGCAAGAGAGTGACGCGAGAGAGGTCGAACCGCTACATATAATTTGTATTAGTTTTCGAGTGGACATCATCTTTAAACTGCAAGGTGAAAAACGAATCCCATAGAACCCACTGGAAGTTTTGGAATAAAAGTAACGCAATTTTTTCATACGGTAACATCAAGAAGAAAAATATTAAAATAGACAACAAGATAATATCGAAACAATACATAGTCCCACTCCGTGTCCAATAAATCAGCGAGAGTTTTGGTGGAATATCGAGTGGAAATTTAAAAACAGTAATAGACTTTTAGCGATATTTTCCATTTTAAGTACTGAAATTTTAATTGCGAATACAGTATGCTTGCATTTACCGACTTCATAACTTGTTCGTACAGTTTCTCATTCTACTATGTATACAGATCAGAAGCTCGGTATACAACATTTGATAGAAATATAATTTGAGTAATTGAGAAAATTCGAAGCTGCCATTAAGCATATTTGTGATTACTTTCATAATTTTTTTTATTGAATCAACAATTTTTTTGTAATGTTAATAATTAATATTAACGTTTTGTGGTTTTCCATCTCACGAATCCATTTCAACTTTTGTTATTAGGCAAAGGAACATCGAAGCTGGAATTGGGTATTCGAGTACCGATAGTCCTCCTAATTAGAGTAGCGATCGGATGGACAATAAGTAAGATTAATTCTTTAGGATAAATTGTGGACTTTTGCTGTCATAATTAGGCTGTCTTTCCTGTGACCGTACTAATCCGATGGGACGAATTCAACAATATCGAATGCGATTGGCTTCTAATTGGCGCCCTAACTACACATCTAATTCCTCATCGACGAAGTGTACCCAAAAGTTGTTTTCCACGAACTTCTTTTAAGATGAATTCATTACGTCTTAGTCTTTCAGATCATATTAACCTGGGCTTCAAGTTTTGCATCAATCGGTTTTTAGGGGGAAATCCGAGCTATACTTATTTTGATTCTTTTGTACAAACCATCCGCCAGATTGCGCTGGAAATTCGAATTTTCAAATCACTTCTAACTCGAAATCTAACCCTAACTGGATATATACTAATTTGTTATAATATATAATATCGTGGCGGGAGTGTTCTTGACAACTCTTAGTTTTATTTTTAGAGGGGGAGAGGGAGCAAACGAATGCGCGTACATATGTAATGATAAAATTAACGAAAAAATATAAAATATGCAACTGATAGCAAGTAACAAAATTTAATTCGCACAGAACTGTAAACAAACAGTTGTCTACAAATCGAAACTATAATACTTCGGAAATATGTGATATTTATACCCGGATTGATTCCGAATTTTATTTTCACAGCATCACTTAAGCAATATCTCGACATAAAAGACCAGACCAACGACATAGTAAAACTTAACGCAATAATCGAAGACCAAAAACTGATGATGACCAACCAAAAGAATGAATCGCAAACAGCTATGGAAAAATTTGAGGCTTTTTCGAAAAAAAACTGAACTCAATCATCTCTGGTTATACTCTAGGTTTGTATCTACTAAGCATTGTCAGTACAGAAATATACAGTCTGGCAATAATAATATAGATAGTAACCATGATTGAATTGAATATAACATGACTTGATTAGCTAAAATCATTGAATCAAAGCAATGTATACATATGTGGAATTCGAAATTAAAAATGGCGCGTGGCCAAAATTTTCAAAAAGGGGGGTTCAAAATCGGAAATACATATTCCCTTCCGGAACAGTCGGCGTGATTACGCGCTCGTTAAAAGAGCCGAATTTTTCGGCGTATAATGACTTCTCTGTCGCGTAAAATATTCAGTCCATGACAACGACAAGAATCCAAAGTGTACTTATATTAATTTAATTGTGTCCAACGTAACTCGCGATTTCGTTTTTTTCATGTTAAAATAAAAACATTATCGCTCTAAAATACCACGGTAATCTATGGACATAAAATAATGAGATTAACCGAACGATTGTATTCAGTTTTGATACGTATATTTGCGATCCTGCGAATTCGTTATCGCCGTTGGAAAAATTTTGAGATCTGATATGAAATCCCGTAGAGTACTTTTTTAATTGGCTACAATAAAGTATGCGCACCAGGAAGGCGCACAACCTGAACATAGGATGTGTGTACCGGTTAGGACTCAGGCTGTGCGACATCTTGGTGCGCATACTTCTGGAGCCCCATTTAATGGTCTTCCATTCAACCTGCTGTAATCAAAATAAAAGCAAAATGCTACGGACAATACGCGGACATAAAAAAGTGAAGTAAATTGCCCAATTATATCTTGTTTTGATCCGTATTTTCTCCATTTGTCGAATTCGACAAATTTGAGCTGTACCTGCTACATTTACTACGTTTACATGGTCACGATAATCGTTTTATCAAAAAACGTTTTTCAGACAATCGAACGCCAAAATATGTCTCGTGTTCACATGGACACCATTGAATTTCTATCCGGTTTAAAATCGTTGGCATCGTACTTGGAGTTGAAAACAGTTGCCAGTTTCATCTTCCACGGCTGCTTTTAAATTCGGTTTAACTGCTGAAAATAAATTCATTTTTTGCAAAATGTTTTTAATTTTACAAGTTAACTATCTTATACGTGTTTATAAGTTTCTCATTCATACGAAACAGAGCAAAAATACAAATTTCGCGAATATCCTGCTAATTCTTCATATCTTTTATCTGACATATTCCGAAATATCACTACATATCAACTACAAATGCTGGGCGATTTTCAACGCTTTACTACACTACAGCAACGTTTCCCAAGCAGTCTGGGATTATTGCTTTGGTCAGTAACTTTATCTATTCTACCATGATGCTCATTTATATACAGATTATAAACCATATTAAAGAGTTCAAAAATGGGCGTGCAGAGGCTTTGCACAACTGTTCTAGTCTATCTGCAGAAATTTATTCAAATTGTCCCCCTGCAGTCATTCCATTAAGTTGATGTGCAATACCTTCCCTTCATTAAGCTTTCTGGTGGCGAAAATCTATTTATATTATAAAGCTCGCCTATACCCCCACAATCTGATCGGACCATGCCACAACACAATGGTTTTCATTTTATTACTGCGCAATGCAATATATGTAATAAAACAACAACATTGGATCCACAGAGCTAATCGTTTCAGTTTCTCATGCAGATGATAAACGAATTTTTGATGCTTCAACTCGAACTGCTTTTTACAATCGGGTAACCTTGTTGTCACACAATCATCTATATTTACTCCTCAGACCCTCAAAACAAAGTTTACAATTAGATCTTCAGATTACGTGTGGCAGTAGGAGCGGGGTGTATTTTAAACATATTACTTCCGGATTTTTTACAAAGCAGTTGGTTACAGTCGAGGGATTAAACTTTTTTTTAAGGGAATTGCCTTATATATACGCCTAAGCGAAACATAAGCTTTTACCTCGTTTTTTTGAAAGCTGAGACACACATGCAAAGAGTATCGTCCCCATTTGTTGCACAGTCTCTCTCATCAATTGCGCATGGGCTTCCATTTGCTCGTGCATCATTTTTTCTTCCCACTCCCTTTGTTTCTCGAAAAGGATTTTAAAGTCAACTGAAGGTCTTTTTCCTGCACAGTGGCATAAGAGACTTAACTAGAAAATGCCTAATTCCTATTTAAACTTTTATAGAAATATAATTAAATAAGACTTATCTCAAATTGAAAGGGATGTACGAATACCACTTTTGTCGCCGATACCAACTAAAAATGCCGATACAGATACCAAACTTATACATTGAGTTACGTACGCAAGATTTTGTTCCAATATCAAAATATCATTATTTATTTAGCCGATACCGAAATATTGGCCGATATCAATGCATCAGTACATCTCTTAATTAGGTAGCATGATGTTTTGGTTGAGACATATAATATACCGGTATACCAAACATTTATATAGACACAAACCAGATTCTTGATTCTCTCCATGATTGGACAAAGTATCAAAAGATGTCTCTGTAGTTGAAGCTGCATCTCCTTCAACATCTAAGCATAAGCAAAACAATTTTGAAAAGACAGTCGGCAATTTCCCATAATAATAAATTTGTGTGCTAAAATTACATTATTAGGGTGATAACAGTATAGGATTCTCATAGTAGCCCTCATAGTAGTATATTACTCATAGGACGGCTTAATCATATGCCGAACCATAGCCTCTGGCTCATAGCCTCAAAAACATCAAAGAAAAATAGTTACCTAGTGATACAGCGTTTGTGATTCCAGTATCCACTCCCATATTTGTATAATCAACATCTGGGTGGTGGACGAAGATTTCATCAAGCTCATCATAATAATCACATGTTATGTGAGCCGTCCCACCAACAGAATGCAGACGTACTATCTTGTTGAAAGTAGACCATGAGGCCATCACTTTATAATGTATTTGTTGGAAACTACAAATGAAAAAACATCTAGCTTTAGTAACCAGCCAATTGAAAAACTGCAAACATACTGCTAGTCAAGAATTTAACATAGTTCGTATCTAATATTATTTCAACAAAATCCAATTGCAAATGTCTAAAAATTAAGTAGAAATAACTTTTCAGAAATTACTAAAATATATGAATCAAAGAACTGAAACTGTATAACATAACGATTGTGCTTCCAAACCTTTTCTTGTATCCCTTCGCTGTCAACTGTTTCTCAACTTCTTTGTACAAAACTTCTGATCTAGACTCCTCTTGGTCAAGCAGAGCAACCAGATTCATTTCTCGAACAATGCCAAGCATTGTTTTAACCTCGTTGTCTTCCCACTTAACTTTCAGATTTGACATAGACTCTCATGAACTCCCATCTCACTCATGAACATAAACTGCACTACTACTTTTCTGCGATAAATATAAATCAGTAAACCAAATAACGGTTTGCTATGAATGGAATTTAATATGTCAATAAATTACATTTGGTAAATTTTCAAAATCAAGAACAGTACCGGTCAGATACCGGTACTGTATTTTTGATGTAGCCTATGAATATATCAGTATATATAGTCTATCAGTGGCGGCGCGTCAATAGGGCCAATCGGGGCAATGCCCCGGTTGTTTTTTCGGTATAATAAAAAATATTCGAAAAATACCTCAATATCGGTTGCACAGACTGTCTACACTAGCCATATTCTCCCGACATGGTTCATTTTTCGCTCGCAAAGCCTTCGCCGAACGTCGACGGGGCGGCGCCGATTTTGCCCCGGTTGCTCATTGTATATCGTATTCTCTCTTTTATCTTCCACTCGCCGCGTTTGTCTCGTTTGTTTTCTGTTTCTTTTACTAAATCATCGGGGCCGATCGGGACTAGCCCCGAAATTATGACGACACAATGCCGACGTTTCTTACAACAACGTGTTGACATATTCACGCATTCCTTCTCGTTCGTTGGCTGCTTGAAGAGTTGATAGTTTCCTCGCCTTCGTTTTTGTCGCTTGTTTCGCTATTTGAATCAGTTAGAGACCTTTAGTCCATTTGCTTTCGATTTTCCACATTCCTTTTGAGCTCCTCACTTCTTTCCGGCTTCGCATTTCTTAGCCTTAGACCTCATAATGAATAAGGTTGATGCACTACTTCGCACTCCGTTTTCGCAGCTGCCGCTGGAACAAAAATTAGAGGTACAACGTCTTGGGCCTTATCAACCAAAAAATTGTTCACTGGAACAATCCCATGACGGAGGAAAGCGTCGGCGTACATTCTGCGCAGAAACTTGGTATAAAAAACACGAATGGTTGTGTTACAGCGAGGACAAAAATGCACTTTTTTGTTTTTATTGCCTACTTTTTGCTACCGCCCGTGACTCACGTTGGTGTAAATTTGGTTTTAGAGATCTTAAACGTCTTTCCGAGCGTGCCAGGGATCATCAATCTTCTATGGAGCATCTGGACAATGCAGTAAAATACCGAACATTCAGAAATGTTAATATTGCAGCACAGTTGGATGAAGGACGCGCGGTTTCTATTCGTCGGCACAACCAAAACGTCGAGAAAAACCGCCATGTTCTCGGTCGATTGTTAGATGTTTTGTCACAAGCTGCCCCTCCGTGGGCTCTTCTAATAGAGGGGTATTTTTGGATATGGTGGAATACACCGCATCCCTAGATACAGTATTGAGAGATCATCTTGATGCCGCAACTGTTTCGAAAGGGACATCTAAGGATATCCAAAATGATTTGCTCGACTCAATGTATAAAATTTATTTACAACATTTGGCTCTGGAAATTGAGAATTGCCAGTTCCTTTCGATTCAGTCTGACGAGACAACTGGCATCACGTGCGTTTCCCAACTGGCTGTGATTTTTCGGTTTGTGAAAGATGGTAAACCTACCGAGAGATTTCATAGCTTTGTACCAATCGTTGATCGCACGGCTTGCGGGATATAGGCTGTACTGAAAGAAGTGTTACAGCCTTACAACGCGGAGTCAAAATTGATAGCTCAAACTTATGACGGCGCGGCAGTCATGAGTGGGTCGAAACATGGTGTTCAAGTTTATATAAAAGAAGATTTTCCTCATGCGCATTTTTTACATTGTTATGCACACCAATTTAACCTCGTTATTAAAAATATCTGTCTTGATACCCCTCTCGTCCGTATATTTTTTGCAAATGTTTCGGGGTTTTCTTCATTTTTTTCCGTTACGCCGAAGCGCTCTGACCTCCTTCGCCAGATATGTAGCCGCCGTCTCCCAGCTTGTGCACCAACACGTTGGAACTTCCAATCACGCGTGGTGCAGAGCGTGTCCGAAATTAGGTCTGAGCTCATTGAGTGTTTCAATGGCATTCAGAGCTCTCCGGTTTGGGACGAACGCTCTGTGAGGGAGGCGGCAGGTCTAAAGCGTCTGCTAGAAGATGGTGAATTTTCATTTTTTCTCGCTTTTTTCTCCACAATATCCTATCACGTGGATGTATTATACGGCGCATTCCAGTCAAGGCTAATGGATGGAGCGTCTGTGCAGTCGTGTATTTCAGACTTCTGCGATGCTGTATCTCGTATCCGGGAAACAATAAAATACGACGACACATGGAGTGCTTCTTTATGCCGCGGGCAAACAACGCAGCGTTTGATTTTGTCTGCAAAGGAATGCTGTAACATTCTGGTGAATCAAATAGGCGATCGTCTGCGCACTGAACACCTTGCCGCGTTTTCTTTGATGAACCCCAAAAAATTTTCAAAATTTGCACGTCAATTTCCCATCCATTTGTTGGCTACTGTCTCCAAATTTTACCCCATGATAAACGTGGGTAAATTGGAAAATGAATTGCGATGTATATACACCAATCAAACTTTTTTGAACATCACATCAACTTGCGCGCTCTATGGGTTCCTCATAGATAACACTCTAGTAACTACCTTTGCGGCGTCTGCAAAATTTCTGGACATCATTTTGACGACGCCTATTTCTTCCGCCGACGCAGAGCGAACATTCAGCACGCTGAAGCGTATTAAAACGTATCTCAGAAACACAATGAAGCAAGATAGATCAAATTCCTTGGCTGTTTTATCCATTCACAGAGACGTTATTTCTGGGATGCATGACTTTAATCAGCGCGTTATTGAGCATTTTTCTTCCAAGAAACCGCGGCGTGTTGCATATATGTTCAAGCAGTAGAAGTCTAGCAGCATATATATCTATGAGTGAGCGACGCATGTCCTTATCTTTGTATAACTTTCCTTTCTTCATAGTAACGTTTTAAACCTTATTTTAGGTTTTGTCTGCTTTCCCGAAGTTTCTGTTAATATGTCATTGTATTTATCTGGGTAAATATTGCCTTTCCTTTTGAAAGAGGTTTCAAAATAAACTATGTCTATATTTATTAATACCTTGACTTGGACCGGTTTTAAAGACACTTTCTTATCGTTAAAAATTGTCGATTTTGCCGATTGGTTGTTACCGATGGAATGGTTTTTAAACTCATAAAATGATGGGAGAACTTACAGCGCTCATCCTGTCCCCGTAGATGGGGGTGACTTGGTCCCGCAGTAGCTTGCCCCGGTTGTCAAAATGACCACGCGCCGCCACTGTAGTCTATATATATATATATATATATATAGACTAACATGCTCTACATTCTAAGTTAGAACGTAGGGCATGTAACGTTTGCTTTGCTAGCTGTGGTTGAAAAGCTCCACACATCCCTTCCCTGGCTGCCCATAGCCCTATTCTTGTCTCGTACTATTCCCTGACTCGTATCAGTTATGCGTAGGCTACTTGATTTTACAGATAAAACATCCTACGTCTGACTGTATCTTTTGCTAAATTTCATAATCCACAGAACTTGAACACTTACATATGTTTCAGCCATTTATGGCACTAGAATTCCGCCACTTCACTTAATATTTTATACCGGTACCGGTATCCAGTTACGGCACCGTACCGGTATTGCATTGTGCAGGACAGGCCGTTGTTGGTTCAGAAAGAAGTTTAACATATTTTTCGCAAGTAAAGAATTCTATCTAGCGTTACTGATGATTACTTCAAAAAGCTCAAACTCGCTTGCAATTGCAACGCTGTCGCGCTGCAAGCATTACCGGTACGGTATTGCATTAGGTCCACAGAAGCGCAGAGCAAGCGACCTAGAAAACGCTGAAGTAAAACCGTCAGCGCGCCCCCGTTCGCGCGTGTGAAGAAAGCATCGTGTTTGCAAATCTACCCTGTGCAATCGTGCTGGAATATCACGATGCAAACACGCTGAGTCATGATTGGCCATCAAACCAAAGTGTTTACATGAACACGATTCGCTCAAAATACGGTTTTGGCACGATAATCGTTGCCATGTATACGCACTAATTGACTACGCTTGTCGCAAAGTTGCCACTCAGAATTTTTTAGGATAAAACTGTTAGAAAAATCAATAAGTCTGTTATAAAATCTCTCGGAGTTAAATTTATATTATTACAATAAAAATTGATAGAATAATATTTATATTATTTATCTCATATATCATCACAAACCGGAAACAAGTCGCGTTTCCAACCCTGTATAATGTCAACAATAACATTTTCGACAGCAATTTAAAGTAATGGTTAAAGAACAAATTCGACGAAAGACACACGGAATTTTGCGATTTACGATGCTTATGGAAGGGTGTTTAATCCTCCTTATCCCGCCACTCCCTAGTCAAATTTTTAAAATATTTTTAATTAGCATTTGTCACCTAACCAAGATGGCTTGAAAGGCCATTGAAGGCTTGTTTGAATCGTATTATTGTCTCCTATACGCAAGAGGTCGCTAATGGACCGCTCCGTGTACAAAATTTTGCGTACGTGAGAAAATTCATCGACGATAGTAAACAAACATTCGAACCTCTCTCCTTTATGGCCGTTGAACCGTTACTTATGATAACGGCACTCTCTCGCAAGCGTAAT